CTCAAGCTATTGACGTCTCAAATTATTTTGATCCAATGCACTACATTAACTATTGAAATATTTTTGCCTCTCAAAATTTTTAGTTTTCAAAATTGACACCTCTACATTAAATTCACCTTTTAATCTCGTCCAAAATCAATGTCATCTAAATCTAAAATTCTGTCAAATTCTAAAATTAATGTCCACATTTAAATTTTGACCCTCGCTCATACTGCTCTAAATAATTTTCATATCAGAGAAATCACTTTTTCACATTATAGATTGAGAATATCAATATAATGATGATACTATATTATTTACTTTACTTTCCTTTATCACCTGCATCTATCTCGATCTTTTCACCCAATTATTTTTGATATCACTTTTCTCCTTTGCCTCCCTCTCTTTCTCTCTTTGTTCTTCCTCTCAATCTTTTCCCCCAACGAATAGCCATCGTCGCCCCTTTCTCTTCTCTCTTTTTCTCTCCTCACCAAAACTCTCTTTCTTCACAGCAACACTATAGAGGCACCATCGAAGGTACAATGATCAACCATCGACAATCTTGAAGCCTCACCCAAGTATCCCTCCCCTCTCTCTCTCTCTCTCTCTGTGCGTATGTCTCCCCTTACCACAATCACCCTTTCCTTCCCTCTCTCCTCTGCCACCGAAACTCATAAACAGCCCACCAAACACCCTATATCTCCAAAGCCAAACTCTTATTTGTAGCCAACCAGTACCTTCAACCCCTTTCCACCCCACTATTGCCATCGAAACCCCCCTACCCAGCAAACGCCTCCCCACCCCTCACATGCACACATTGCTACCGAAATCCACCACAGTCACCGAAACACCAAGTATTTGTATTATTGCTTCAATGAGCAGGCCAACATTTTCCTTATTTTTTAGCGAACTTACTTTGTCTGTTGTAGCGACCATCTATAGCACGATGGCGCAGCTCCAGTGATCAGCAATGGCACAACTCCAGCGGGACGATGATCTCCGAAAAAATTATTTTGTTGGTTTGGGTTTGTTATTTTTTTTTAGTTTTACATATTTTTAGGTTATTTATAATATTTTTTTGTACGTTCTAGGATATGAGGACATAAAATTGGTTCAGGCTAAGTGGTCCTTTGTGAACAAAGATGAGTTCATCTATTTCTGGTGTTTGTTTTGTCCAAAGTCCAAAAGAACCAAGGAGCCTTTTTGTTCAAGAGTCATGCCTTTTATTTTTTTGGCACATTTGGGAATGGTTTGCATCAAATGAAAGCAAAAATGACAAGAACCACTGTGAGGTGTATGCACAATGTTTAATAAGTTCTTTGTATTGCTATTCAAAGTTATTTAGGTTGTAATGTCTATGTTTTTAAGAAATTTCAAATCTTGACTTCATTCTAATGCTTTGTGTATATTCATAAATTTTGCAAGTTATACACTATTCCTGCAATATATTGAAATTCAACTTGATTTGTTGTCAATATATCTTATAGTTCATTTGTTTTGTTGTCAATTTGATACATTATTTGGCTTGAATTGTAGTTAAAAGTAAGCTCGCTTTCACGAAGCAGTATCGATGGCTGCTGAAGATATGTTTTTAGTTTGAAAGTGATAATGATAGTGGTCTTAGTGATGATAGTTAATCTTGAAATTGTGATGGATGAGTGGTGGTGGGGTAAAGCTCTTGAGACAAATTTGTGCAACATAAAATTTGGTTGCATTGAATAGCAAAATTAATTTAAATAGTTGACTTGGTTAGATTTAATTTTAATTTGAGCACAAAATTTGATTAGTTATCAAAATTTAGGCTAAATGGTAATGGTGGTATTAGTGATAATAATTTTATATAGTTGTGTTTTTAGAGGACTCAAATTTTATGTATTCAGTTTCTCAATTTGATAATGTTAGCGTAGTTGGATTTAATCAATATTTTAAAAATTTTGAATATTTTTACAAATTACCCTCACTGAAAAGTTATAGGTATAGTTCTATGTATTAGGAAAACATGTGGGTGTGTTTCATAAATATAACATTAGATTAGGAGAACACTTCTTGCCTCCTGGTCCCGACTTTTCATTCATCTCTTCAGACTTCTTTATTTTCTTTCTTTGGCCCCTCATGTCTTTCCTGTTGTGAATTGAAAGTTCTCTCTTCAACCGACTTTTGCTCTCTGTAGTGTACCTTTGTTCTCTTTTTATGTTTTTTTTGTCTTCAGTCGTCCCTTTTTTTGTTATCAATTCGATTGTTATTTAACCAGTCAATTATAAATGTTGTTGAGAGTTTAGAAAATTCTATGATAGATATCGTGCAAGAGGTAACTCATACACAATTTCTTTGATTTCAAAAATTTTTGTATTTTTTGGCAAGACGTTAAGTGCTTCTACTCATTTTGTTTTTTTTTTTTTACCCATTTCATTTTTTACCTAACAATAGATGACAGAACTGCAATTATCTATATTTGAATTGAACAATGACGATTCAAACAATTGATTTTTGATCTCTTCGGAATATTAGTTGTAGTTTTTAATTCTTTGGATATTAGACGGTGGTGAGGGTATAAAGGAGTTTGGTTTTGTGGAATAAATTTATCGATGATTTCGATGTGTAGCAGTCATCTGTTTGTGAATTAAATATGTGGTTGAAGTTTATGTTATTATGATTTAAAAGCAGTTAGTCCCCTCTTTGTTATTTTTAGATGTTGGAATTAAAATTGGGGTTTGAATTTTTTATATTTAATTGGATTGCTCTATATATAATTTGGTTGTTAAGCATTATATTTTGGGTTAAGTTATTTTGATTAATTGGAATTGAAGAATTTGATTATTATAGCTCTGAATGTTCCTATATCTAAGTTCGATTTAATAGAGTTGTAATAGAATTAATTTTTCTAAATTACTGCTATTAAAATTTCTCTATTTATTTTGTTATTTATAGTTTTCTTGTAATTTATTTGTTAAAAACATAATAATGGGTATTGAGTTAGGGTCTAACTATCGAATTGATTTTAGAATTAGCAGAGATAAAATTTTTTAAAAAAATATTTAAAGTTATTAAAAAATTTTATATTGCCCCACAAAAGAAATGGTCCGGCTCCACCCCTACCGACCATAATGGTCCCTGGTGAGATAAAGTTCAGTGGGCACACTATCAGTCTCCATTACTGCGAAAGCAACTTCTTCAGTTATTGGCCTTTAAACTTTTGGGATTTCTCTTTGTGGGATTTCTGTGGCTTCTCTTGTTCATACTCTGATAGTGATGGTGGCACCATCTCAAGCCAAAAACCAAGGGCTGCCTGCCACAAAACTGCTCTTGATGCACTGACCACAACCAATCACATTCCAACCAAGATCAACAAAACCTTTTAAGTATACGAGCACATTACTTGGTCTTGGTTAAGCCATGGGAGGTGTTGCTCACACACATATATTCACCTTCTGCTTGGTAGCCAGAGCACCTTATTGAGTTAAACTATGGTACCCAAAAATTAAATTCCAGTACTATAACCTTATCTGCATCATAGCATTCCACCAAACATTGATCGTTACAATTAGTAATATGCATAAATACCTAAATTATATTCCAAACAACAACACAGTTTCTTCAAATTAAATAGATGGAGCAACTGTAAATTACGTCATCAAAAACACAAAAGTTATGTGACTAGGGATGTCAGTGGATCGAGGAAAAACAGGTATTTGTTCAAATCTGTCCCGTTTGGACTGAGAATGGACTATATATATTGGACGGTGGACGTATACGAGGATACCCGTACAAACCCGTATAGGAAATGAAGGCGGGGATGGACTTACCCTTATTCCCGCTCCCATTACCCGTATATATATATATATATATATATATATATATATATATATATATATATATACTCTCAAACCCTAACTAAACATATTCACTATAACTACCAATCTAGAAATATGGTAATCAAACTAACAAGTGGTATTCTTATGTGGTAATCTTATCAACTTTTTTCCCTAATTGTTCTTTTTTCTATTTGTGCTCACTGATTGAACTGTTAGGAGTTTGGATTGACCATACTCTAAAAACAAATAAGAGAGAGTAAGATAATTTTGTATTCATCGTAGGTAAAAATATTGTGAATGGAGGTTGACGAGTTTCTCTGCTAGAGTGAACTAAAAAATGGAGAAAATTATTAAATTAGCGAAATTTTAAGTTTTCATCTTTTAACACTTTATGGCTACAATATGAATTATAATAACAAAAATTTTTCTAGGAAATTTCAAGTGTAGTGTTATCGTTTTCTTAGTTTAATTTTATTTTTCTTTTCTTCCTTTCTCTCTAATAGTTCCGTTTCTCTTTTTGTGGTCCAATAACACTTTAAATAGAATACTATATTGTTTTGGTTTTTACATTTTGCTATCTACATTATGTTGTATTAGATTATGTTAGATTATTTAGAATATAATTGGATTATTTAAAATATTAGATTTATTTAAAATTTTGGATTCTGCTATTTGGGTTTGGGATTGGGCTTTGGCTTGGGGTTAAGCTTAGGCGGGTACGGGAGAAGTGGGAACGGGGATTAGAAATTTACCCGCGGATAGTGATGATGATAAAAATTATACTTGTTAACGGGGGTGAATCGGGGATGGACGGAGTTTTTTTAAGCGGGTATGAGGATGAAGACTATACTCCCCACCCCCGCTTCGGTCCACTAACATCCCTATATGTGACTCAGTACACCAGTCTGTTTCAACCCACGTATGGGTGTTCATGGGTCAAGTTGGCCCATGGTCCTGTTACCTAGCCCAAAAAGAAGCTCAAAACTCAATAAACCTAATAGTTGGCCCGTCCAAAAAAATTCATGGGCCTAGCCCGGCCAGGCCCATGGACACTACTAAACCAAGGATGTCAATATGTCATACACCAACGAATACCTGAATCAAATCGCTTCTAATCAAACACTAAAAAAATATGAAAATGGAACTTGGTCTTGGTACTTTTGTACACCAATTCAAGCAGCATCAAGGTATATTAAAAGTCATAAGCACATACAACAACTTTCTGAAATGTAATCTAACAGTACCAGGGAAAAATACTGAAGTATACAAAGTATTAATAAACAAAGATAAGAAGTAACTGTAACTTAGAACCGAATAAGAACACACAGTAAAAAGTGGGTTTAAGTACTAGTGTTCTAGCAGCAAGGGACCTGACTTACGGGCCGAATCAACTACCGTCCTCACTGTTGATATCGTCAAGAATCACGATGAGGGAGACAATGAAGGCATAATCAATGTTAGGATACACAGTCACCATGAACTTGTCCTTTCCAAGCAAGATGCTTTCAGCGGAGTATCTTTGATGCATCTGCAGTTCCACAATGATCAATTAAGTCTAGTTATTATTTGTACAGTTTCTCCATAATTTGCACAATTCGAATATGTCCCCATGATCACATTGCCACACCATATGGCATCAATGATTTGTTCATTTCATGAACTGAACTATAAGTGATTATAATTTTATGAAACAACAAATCCTTCTGTTCATGATCTTACTTGGGCAACAACCGTCGAAGAATCTCCAGCATAAATGACACAAGATCTCTCAAGCCAGCTTCCTTCGACCTTGAAATCACACACCTCCTCTGTCGTGTTATGTGCTAAGTACACATTCAATCTGGTCCTCAGTTGGAAAATTGAAGATGTTTTAGCAGTAAAGAGCAGATCTGCAGGGTCTTTGCTATTCCCCCTAAAGACTTGCCACCTGCTGTGTGCGCTCATAATCTGCACAACCAAAATAAATTGAAGTTGTCCACCATAGTGAAATAAGAAGGCAAGACTTAATGCCAGATATTCTAACATTCAGATAATTGTCTGGGCGCGGTTTGATTGGTCTTTTTCTTTCTTTAATCCCTTTGATACAACTAGATTTTTCTGCTCATCTAAATCTGATTTTGTGGTTAGGTGCAAAAAAACCAGTAATTAACCCCCCCGCCCCGGATGGACTTTTAGGGATTGGGGAAGACGGGGGGATTATATATCTAGAACAATGCATGGAGAGCAATTTATACTCAACTGAGCACCAAATATAAGCATAAAAAATTGGCTTGTCAAAAAATTGTATACAAATTACAAATTCAATACAGTGTATGCTATATCATCAAGCAAACCTTCGGTCGTAGGGTAACAATGGGATTCCCAGCTGCATCAGTAAGCAATTGGCGTTCACGAAGAAATGTTATGCGAACTTTTACTTTAAACATGATGTTTCCATTAACATCTGTAACTACAAAGTTACCATCAGTGAGGGCCAGAAGTTTTCTAGTGATTGCTAGATCAATCGGATAAGGAACACAATAATGAGGACCTATCACTGAAACAAGATTAGTTAAAGGAATGTAGCTTGGCTGTGCCATGATGATCAAGACAGAGAGAAGAAGAGCTATGGACCCTTTTGTTTTTGAGACTTTGTCTGGAGTACTTTGTAGTAAGATTCTTATATAACTCATCCACGTTTGAAACAATTGATATTTAAATGTTTGTTAGAATTGTTCAAGCATGTATTTCAATAGGAGTTGATCAGGAAGAATGATAATGACAAAATCAACAAGGGACAGGGTCAAGATTAAGACACGTGCGAGCACATGCTAGTATACAAATTGAAAAGAATTCGGAGGTTAGTTCATCCATCCATTTTCACAATGCAAAGTTAAGGACCCAGCAGTCCCACCTCATAAGGAGAGCATAATATTTGTAGAAAAATTAGTTCTTTTAAGGTTTAACTTATGAAATTTTGTTGAGAAATTTTTTGCTGAATTTGGGTAAGAATTTAAATTCTGTTGTAGAACTCAATTACTCATAGTCGAAGGAAAAAAATGACTTTGACCGATCGTAGGACACTGGTTTTTTATATGTCCTGTCAATCTTCCACGAAACACATCCATTGGCCAATCATGTAAAGACCGGACTAAGATCTGAAACAGAGAATAGAACTGAGTGAAGAATTACTACAAGGAACTAAGGAACCTAACCCATGAATTAGATTGGAGAGGGCAGACTTGATGGTACATTGACTAAGCCTCAATTAATGGACTAAGTTGAGCAAATTGTTAGAATTATCCATCCCTAGAAAGCACCATTTTCTTATAGCCGTCCTAATTGCCTTCATATTATTTACATTCCTATTTGTCTAATTTTTTTGTGGTTTTGAAAGGCTTACTATAATAAAATAATTGGTAACTTGTTCAACTCAAATCCCTCCCCCCTCCCTTCTTGTTTAGACCGGATCAACCATTCATTACTAGACATTAAGATGGTTTTTTGTATAACATTTGGCATCATTGACCAGATATTGCTTACATGTCCACTCCCTCCCCCATTTGTAGAAATGGTTGAGGAATGTACCTAAGTATCAATTATTGATGGTTTTTTTTATGTGTGGTAATTATTGAAGTATAGATACTTAAACTTTAATATCGCTTACAACTTAATCTTTTAGAGTAGATGATTTTACACCATAATATCATAGCAACCACTAGCTCAAGATTATCCAAAACCCAAATAATGCTGTCATCCATGAGATGCCAGTCTGATTAATTTCAATTTAATGGCTACAAGGTTAAAGTCGAGGTGAATAATAGTTCTAGTTTTTAACTTTCACCAGATTATTAGATTAAATGATGGTCATGTGATTCTTACTTTTGTCTTCATAAACTGAAATAAAACAAAAAACAATCCGAAAGTTATTTAAACATTTTTATTCATGCATAAGCAAATGGATACATACATAAAAAAAAACAAAAAAAAAGGTCTTTTGCTGACCTCTACAAGTTCCAGGATCATAAGATTGTAGAGACAACCACATTACATCCGGAATTCAAGTACCCCCCTACATAGATAATATTCTTAAGGTAGGTCTCCAACAGTACATGATTTTATTACTAACTTGAAAGGGAAACCATTTATACAAACTTAAGGTGATTTCAGTCACTTCCATCTCTGTCCTCATTGATTTCCTCCAGAATCACCACCAGAGCAGCTATGAAGGCATAATCAATGTGTGGATATACAGTCACAGAAAATGTATCTTTGCCCAGCAGAATACTACTAGCTGTGTGCTTCCTGTGCATCTGCAATATCATCATCAAGGACTTGGGCAACTCAGGTCAAAAAATAAATATATTAAAACAGCATGAAAATGCCTAAACAGATAAGGGTTTTCTCATTCTTGAAGCTGAAACAGGATTGCAAGATACCTGAGCAATTATAGTAGAAGAATCTCCAGCATATATAGCACATGATCTCTCGACAAAAGCCCAAGGTCGCTAACGGACGGGCTGGCCAAACAGCTAGGCCGAGGTGCCGGATTTTGGGCCATTGATTGGTGGAGGTGCAGGAATGATCCGTTGAGCTTTTAGTGGGTTATCCCCCTAGGTTTGGTTGGACATATGCTTGTTGGCCTTAGTTCACCCAAAAAAAATTGAACTCAAAGATAGCGTAAATAATAATAGACACGAATTATAAATTAAAATATTATGAATTTAAAATTTAGAAACTCTTTGGTATATTCTTTATAAATATTTTAATTTTGGTATGGATGGTCTATCTTTGACGGGACTGAAGAAAAAATTAATTAAAATACTCGTAAATTGACTCAAGTATCCAGTGATTGAACTAAAAAAAACTGTGCACTAATGTCTGTCACATGCCAAAGAAATTTGCAAAAACAGTTTTTGTGAAAATGGTCTAGTCATATAAACAATAAATATCTTTTGGTTTTAACCTTGGGTGTTTGGAAACCTTGAGAGGAAGGATGTCCCAACATAGACTCAGAGCATATTTAATTTTTATTTTTTAAAAAAATTTAAATTTAAATTTAGGTAAAAAAAATTCTTAAAAATTTTCTCTAATGATAGACCCATAATCATGTCAAATAAAGAAAGACTCATTTTTTTTATTCAAATTCATACTCAAATATTTAATTGTGAGATTTCACCCGTCTTTAAAAATCTTTTTTTTTTTTTTTACCAGCAAAACCAATTTATTGATCTTTTTTTAAAAAAATTACATAGAAAGGAAATCCAAGGGGAACAAACCCTTTATAGCCAAATAGCAAAAGCTATTGAAAAAGAAACTCTTATCAATCTGTTAAACATTTAAATTTAAAATGCAAAATTCAAAAAGGATGAGATAAACGAATCCATGAAGTCTTCTTCCTCAAATTTTTGATCTGCCTCTGATCCTGCAAAACCAAAAATCTTGCTTGGATAAGAAGAGAATTTGATAAGACAGTTTCAAAATCCAACTTACCAAGTACCCCTTTCTTTGCCAAAAAATCAACCACCATATTCCCTTCTCTATCAAAATTAAACTGCTCAGCCTCTTTGAAATTTGACTAATCAGCTGCCTATGTCTCCATGTAGTCCAGACCTTCCCAGAAATCATATCCAGTAACACTTGAGAGTCTGATTCAATAATAATTGGATAAACAGATCAACCACAAGACTCCAACAAAATTAGACTATCCAACATAGCACGACTTTCAGCTTCCATGTTAGAGCAATGACCATAATAAACTGACCCTGCAAATATCATCTATTTCCTAGTTCTGTTTAGGGGTGGGGCGAGGCGAAGGGGAAAGAGGAGGGGGGGGGGGGGGGGGGGGGGTTGGATAGCTTGTAAGGGAAAGGGGATGAGCTTTGAACCCATAACCACCCATATTCACGCTAGAAACAAAACCGAATCAGTTGATTTACACCAACATATATGCACAAGCATTCATAGATTAAACAGCCATATTCATTTCTTTAATTTCCGTAAAAGCTCAAGGGACTATATAACTACATAGGTAGCCACACCCTTCCAGATTTTTTTGTTACCCTTCATACATTTTATTGTAGATTATATAATATAATTTATTTTTTTTTAGATTATATAATATATAGTTGTGCTAATTCAGTCATCCTTGTCCTCATTGATTTCGTTGAGAATGACCACGAGAGCAACTATGAAGGCTTGGTCGATATTCGGATACACATTCACGGCAAACTTGTCTTTCCCCAGCACAACTCTCTTCAAGCTGTGTTTCTCACCTGCATTGAACATAACAAAGCCATCCATACAATATTAGACCAAATTATGATTTAATGACTGAAAAAACTTAAAGTGTGCCTTAGCTATGACCATGAGGGAAACAATAGGATCTCCGCATGGAAAGTAAGACTATTTACACCAAACCTTGCGCATAACCCACATGATTTGTACCTGAGCAATGATAGTTGAACTCCAGTAGATATGATGCATGATCTCTCCAACCAGTTGCCTTTCACTTTGAAATCACAGACATGTTCTTTTTTGTTTGTGGCTAAGAAAACATCTAACTCGGTTTTGAACTGGATGAGCGAAGACTTCATGGCACTGAATAGCAAATCTTTGGAGTCTGAGCTATCTCCCCTGAACACTTGCCACCTCCTGTGTGCTGTCAATATCTGAAACAAGTAGGGAGTAACATTACTCTACATATCACGCATTAACCATAGAGAAATAAGTTTGTAAGGAAAAACCTTTGCCGGAGTGAGACGATAGGGTTGCCTTTAGCATAAAGCAAGACACGGCGGTCAGGAACGCTCAAGAGCTTGCCTTTGAGGTAGAACATGGTTTTCCCCTTGACATCGGTGACCCCCAAGTTGCCTTCTGATATGGTCACGGGCTTCTTGACTATTATCAGATCTACCGGAGAAGGAGTGCAGAACTGTGGGCCTATAACTACCACAGGGATAGCCAACCGCGGAGAGCTTGCTTCGGCCATCATCAATAGTGATAGCTAGTGCTTACTGAGAAGTTGGTCCTGGAGCGAGAAATTAACTAAAATCTGTATAGTTTTTATAGCATTCAGTGAACTGTGGGAGCTGACAGGGTTAGGCAATAAGTAAGATGCTTGATTTTGAACTTTTATCATCACTGCCCATTTTTTGTTGGAAAAATTCGATTGTACTTTAGAGATTACAACATGGTTTGAATTAGAAAATTGCACACTCAACATAACCTCCTGAATTTGCAAAGAATATTATTGCTTTTTAACACCATTATCTTGCCACAGCAGAAAATGAGGATAGAATCTTGACTCAAATACAAATTGGATCTTTTTTAAAATATAAAATTATAGGAATGTCCGATGCAGTGACATCTGTCAAATCTGAAAGGCATTAAGATGATATCATGTGATAAACTTTGAAAAAAAGAGGCAAGGAAATGATGAGCCACAACCTTATTTGAAAAGGATAAACAACCGTTTGAGAGTTATTAAGAACCGTAAAAAATAGGACTATAAAAGGTAGACATCAGAGAAGTTAAAAGTACATTTAAACTCCACAAAATCAATGATCTAGGTATTTTTAGTAGTTATTTTAGATTAATTTAGAAAGTAGTTATTGTTATAATAAATGTTGTTAACTCAATCTTTTCTATAACTGAAATCTTTTCTACTGAATCTTTTTTATTAATTCTCTATACTGTGTAATTATCCCCTTAAAATTCATCCAAAGAAGTCCTAAAACAAGGCAATTGAACTCATCATAAATAATTGTCTGAAACTGTCTATCGATTAAATTTTCTTTGTCGAACAACAACAAATTTTTGGTGCAACAGATCCAAAACCTAATCCATGAGCTTGAATTAAGTTCAGAGTATTTTGTTTCAAAATTGTATATTTGGTTCCAACATTCTCATTTGAGCCTGTTAGAATTTTGATTCATATACAAGTTTGATTTATAAAATAATCAAAAATTAAAATTAAAATTGAAAATAATTTATTTCGAACTATATATTAAGCTCTAATTGTTGTGCAGTTGATGTGGTATTTGTAAGAATTAAATTAAGTTTTAGAACTTTTATTGAATATCCACTTTAATTGAGTTTAAATAGTTT